TCCTCCCTCATCCGCCTCTTCCGTCCTCCCTCACTCGTCCGCCTCCCTCCTCGGTAGGGAAACCCCTCCCCCGTAGAATCATAGTTTGGGTTGCAGGTGCAAGGCTCCGTGGATATATTTCCCTGTGGGTCCCTTGTTTTCACTACGAATATAAACTCTCTCCAAGAAAATCATTGGATTCACGAAGCGTCCACGCCAAAAAAATAGATCCAGCAAACACGAAAATTGGATGCACGTGACTCTCGTACACACGTAATTGGATCCAAATGGGTCCATGCGTTCCCACGCAAGAGGAAATAAAAATCGGCCTGGGGGTGGCGAGTTTTGCACCGCTTCTGCCCTTTCAGCACGCTGCACGCTGGCGGGGGGGACGGGGGTCAAAACCCCACTGCAGAGATTTGCGCCCCTTCTGCCCTTCAGCACGCTGCACGTGTTGGCGGGGGAAACGAGGGTCAAAGCCCCACTTGAACAGGCCGAGAATTTTTCCTTTTGAGGCCCACATGACACATGCGAAGTGCCGTTGGCTTTAGCGGATGCGGACGCAGCGATCATATCGCGCTCGCGTCGAGGTGGGGTGCGGCAGATGTTCTGGGAGGCTGCGGGAGTTGGCCAGGCCCGCTGTGGTGCTCGAGCACCCACATTTGATGGAGGCTGCGCGAGTTGGCCGGGGCAGCTGCGGCGCTCGAGCAACGACATGTTATGGGAGGGGTTCGGAGAGGTGGCCAGCCCGATCTGGCGCTCGGGCCCCCGACTTGGGCACCGCGGTCGTTTTCCCTCCCCCTCCCTCCTCCCTCATCCGCCTCTTCCGTCCTCCCTCACTCGTCCGCCTCCCTCCTCGGTAGGGAAGTCCCTCCCCCGTAGAACCATAGTTTGGGCTGCAGGTGCAAGGTTCCGTGGATATATTTCCCTGTGGGTCCCTTGTATTAGTTATTAATATACATTTACTCCAGGAGAACAGTTGAATCCACTAAGCTTCCACGCCAAACAATTGGTCCAGATGACACGGAAATTGGATCCACGTGACTTTCGCACACACGTAATTGGATCAAAATGGATTCATGCGTTCCCCTGCAAGAGGGAAGAACTTCGGCCTGGAAATGAAGAGTTTTGCACCCCTTCTGCCCTTTCAGCACGCTGCACGTGTTGGCGGGGGAGACGGGGTCAAAACCCCACTGCGAAGTTTTGCGCCCCTTCTGCCCTTCAGCACACTGCACGTGTTGGCGGGGGAAACGGGGGTCAAAACCCCACTTGAGCAGGCCGACAGATTTTCCTCTTGAGGCCCACATGGCACATGCGACATGCCTTTGGCTTTAGCGGATGCGGCGCAGCGATCATATCGCGTTCGCGTCGAGGTGGGGTGCGGCATGTGTTATGGCAGGCTGCGGGAGTTGGCCAAGCCCGCTGTGGTGCTCGAGCACCCACATTTTATGGAGGCTGCGCGAGTTGGCCGGGGCAGCTGTGGCGCTCGAGCAACGACATGTTATGGGAGGGGTTCGGAGAGGTGGCCAGGCCCGATCTGGCGTTCGAGCTCCCGACTTGGGCACCGCGGTCATTTCCCCTCCTCTCCTCCTCCCTCCTCCCTCATCCGCCTCTTCCGTCCTCCCTCCTCGTCCGCCTCCCTCCTCAGTAGGGAAGCCCCTCCCCCGTATAATCATAGCTAGGGCTGCAGGTGCCAGGCTCCGTGGATCAATTTCCTTTGGGCCCCTTGTATTAATTATTATTATACATTTATTGCAAGGAAAGAATTGGATCCACCAAACTTCCACGCCAAAACATTGAATCCAGAAGATACGGAAATTGGATCCACGTGTAATGGAATCCAAATGTATCCATGCGTTCCCATGCAAGCGGACAAAAATTTTCGGCCTGGGGATGTATGAGAAAAACTCCCGAACTGAAGCGTATCATCGGAACTCCGAGGACGCGGTCGGGGATCTACTGACCCGGGAAAATCCGAAGCCAGGTCAGTCAGGCCTTGCAGGACCAGGCAGGATCCTGCGCCCCCACCCGGGTCAGTGCACCCCTGGCCCTGCAGGATCCTACAAGCTCTGCCGCTCCGGCTGACCCCACGTTTGCATTGACCCTCGTCTCCTGAGCCCCGACGCGGCCCCTCCTCCTCCTCCTCCTCCCTCCTCCACCTCCTCCTCCTCCTCCTCCTCCTCCTCCTCCTCCTCCTCCTCCTCCTCCTCCTCCTCCTCTTCCTCCTCCACCTCCTCCTCCTCCTCCTCCTCCTCCTGCTCCTCCTCCCCCCGGGCGTGGCCTGTCCTGCTTGGACCCGCCACAGGGCATCGAGCGCAGCTTCAGCCACGCGGCGAGCTCGCTCTGCGGGGGCCGCCGCCGCCGCCCCGCGGGAGCGAGCGCGGAGGAGGCGGGAGGAGCAGGAGGAAGCCGGGTGTGGGGGAGGGGAACGGTCGGTCGGATCGGGCATTGAGGCGGTCCTCGTGCCGTGAAGGGAGGGCGGGGGAGGGAGGAGGGAAAAGGGAGGAGGGAGGAGGAGGGAAGAGGGAGGAGGGAGGAGGGAGGGAGGGCGAGGAGGGAGGGAGAAGGCCGGAGGGAGGGGGAGGAGGAAGGGAGCAGGGGAGGGGGAGGAGCGGGGAGGGGGAGGGGGCAGGGGGGCGAAGGGATGATGGGGGAGGGAGGGAGAGGGAGGAGTGAGGAGGGAAGAGGGGGAGGAGGAGCCGGGGGGGGGAAGGAAGGGAAGAGGGGGAGGAGGAGGGGGGGTGGGGAGGGGACGGGGGAAGGACCTCCAGCATTCCTGACATCGCGCAGTGAGGAAAGGCTTAGACTGAGTTCAGCACTCCGGCAGCAAGCCTCCAGAGATGAGGCCGAGGTGCTCTCTCTCTCTCTCTCTCTCTCTCTCCGAGCCTTGGAGGCAGGTAGAGTGCACGGCTTGCCCAGACCCGTGAGCTGGGCCTGACCGGAGAGAAGGAGACAAGAAGGAGAAGGAGGGATGAGTGGGGAACGCGGAGGGTCGGGAGGGACGAGAAGATAACAGGTATCCATGATGCGTCGACACTGCTGCAGCCACCCTCCCGCCCCAAGCCTCCTCCCAAAAGGTCCATGCGGATATGCTGATCCACTACGAGGAGCGCCCCCTTGAAAGACAAGGGCGTCAATGGGCGTACCATTCAGGCGGGAACCACGTCTTATACAGGAACCGTCATGTTGTACCGATCGTGAACCTCAAATTCTAGGACCGGTTCCAGGCAAGAGCTATATGGTGAACAAGAAATGGCATCCACCCAGGTTATTTTTGCACATTGCGTGAAAACTCGAATCACATGATGCGCCCCAAACGACACCACGTGTTAAACAAAAAGCCGCCCTCAATTTGCGTTCCACGAAGTCAACCAACCAGCCAGCCAACCTGGCGGCCACTGCCAATCAACCAACCGGCCAGGCGATAAGGGAAGTAGGGCGGGGCTCAAGACAAGGACATGAGCCCCTGACGAGGTGGCCGCGCCCTGCAAGACGGAGGATCGGCGCCACGGCGGTTTGGGGGGGGCCTGAACCGAGAGCGAGCCAGAGGCAGAGCAGCAATCGAGTAGGGGATCGACTACCTAATCCCACCAGCCCTCTGGGCGTAGGCGGTCTAGGGAGCGTTCTCTTCCAACCCCCTTCTTCCCCTTCGGGGAGGGGTTTACCCCTCCCCCTTACCTCCTCCCCTGGACTTACGACAGGGGAGTTCGCGAGGGGGTGGAGCGTCCAAGATGGCCCAAGACGGCTTCAAGAGCGCCTCAGAGCCCGATGGCCTCTGAGATGGCTCAAGGTAGCCCAAGATGCCTCAAGATAGCTCCCAATATGCCTAAAAATGGCTCCCAAGATGCTCCAAGACGGCTCCAGGTGGCCACAGAGCCTCCCCAGGAGGTCCCCAAGAAACCAAAATCCTTCAAACACCTGAAGGAAATCACGGTGCGTTGCGTTCTCGCCTGTTCGTTTCTGATGGCCATCCGAGGCCTCAGGATGGCTCCAGGATGGCTCAAGAGAGACGCAAGAGGAGCCCAAGAGGCCTTCACGACGGCCCCACGAGCGCCCCAAGATGCGGTGTGTGGGGTTCCTGGGGGGGGGGGGGCCCTGATTGGAGCTCCCTTTTTTTTGCTCGACGTCTTCCAGGATGGCTCCGAGAGCGCCCCTCGAGCTTCCAGGAGCGCGCCCACTGAAGGGGCCCCAGGACACGCAAATCAAGACACACAAGTGAAAAGATTCTCCCCATAGTTTCGCACAGTTTCGGGGCGTCTGCCTTCCCCCCCCCCCCTTCCCATAGTTTCCCACATCTTCTGAGGAATCGAGGACTGATCGTGTCTGTGTGTTTTTCCCTCTCCTCACCCACGGGAGAGCCCGTGCCGCACGCCTCCTGCACGCCCGCCGGGCGGAGCCCGACGAGCCCCGCGCCTCCCTCGCGGGCGGGGGGCGGCGGCCGCGGGGCCGCCCGCGGGGGGCGGGCACCCGGAGGGTCCCCCCTGGCGGCGCCCTCGGCGAAGGGCCCGCGGAGGCGTCAAGCAGCGGCGGAGCGTCCTGGCTCGCCGATAGCCCTGCAGTCGGGGCGGTGACCTAAGGAACCCTAAATCAGGAACGAGGCCCCTTTTTCTCCAGAAGTTGAATCTCGATCTCCTGTCGAAGACATAAGGAACACGCGGGGCAAGCTGTGAAACTATGAAGGAGCACGGAGCCCCTCCCCAACGAAGAGGGTTCCTTCTGCAGGGCCCCGACTGTACCAAACAATATTCTAAGAACCTTTTGTGGTTTCCACGAGATGTTCTTAGAACAGTTCTGGCGAAGCCTGTCTTGTTTTGTCACATCGGGTTTCTGTTCTAGGAACATCGTTGTTGTTCTTAGAACATTTTTGGTTTCTCAGTACACTTGGTAGTAGGACTATAGAATGCCGGGACGGTCGGTCCCTGCTCAAAGGCGCCCTCGGCGCACGCCCCTCGCAGGCGCCCCTCGGAGGCGGCAGCTCGCGCCCGCGCGTGCGCGGGCCCCCTCGCCGCAGCAGCGCGCGGCGCGCTCCCCGCGCGCCCTCGGCCGGGGCCCCTCGGCGGCGCGCGGCGGCGGGCCCCCGTCGGTCACTCCTGTAGCGGCGCGCAAAGGGGGGTAGGAGGAGGGGGGAAGGCTTCTTAGAAGCACCCCTGCTTCTTAGAAGGCGCGGGCCTTATCTATAGATGTGAGGCCGGCGCCTTCTAAGAAGCAGCCTCCTTCTAAGAAGCCCTCCCCCCTCCCCCATACCCCCCTCTGCGCGACGCCAACTCCTGTCGGGAGGGCACCACCGGCTCACCCTGCCACCAATCTTAGGTCGGGCGTCCCCCCACGGGCGGACTTGGGCGAATAATCAAAAATACGAAAAACAAAAACAAAAATTATCCTGACGAAGGACCCAACCATATGCAAACGTGAATACCGCAGGGCAGGTGGGACGAAGCAAGAGGAATTCTCTATGGGGCCACGATCCTCGTGAGGGGTGTGCCGAAATGGCCCGATGCCGCCATGCGAACGCTGCCACTGGCGCCTTCGATGGAGCTCCCTGATGGGGCCACGATCCTCGTGAGGGGTGTGCCGAAATGGCCCGAGGCCGCCATGCGAACGATGCCACTGGCGCCTTCGGTGGAGCTCCCTGATGGGGCCACGATCCTCGTGAGGGGTGTGCCGAAATGGTCCGAGGCCGCCACGCGAACGCCGCCACTGGCGCCTTCGGTGGAGCTCCCTATGGGGCCACGATCCCCGTGACGGGTGTGCCGAAATGGCCCGGGGCCGCCATGCGAACGCTGCCACTGGCGCCTTCGGTGGAGCTCCCTATGGGGCCACGATCCTCGTGAGGGGTGTGCCAAAATGGGGCAAGGCCGCCATGCGAACGCTGCCACTGGGGCCTTCGCTGGAGCTCCCATGAGGCCACGATCCTCGTGAGGGGTGTGCCGAAATGGGGCGGGGCCGCCATGCGAACCCTGCCACTGGGGCCTTCAGTGGAGCTCCCTATGGGGCCACGATCCTCGTGAGGGGTGTGCCGAAATGGGGCGGGGCCGCCATGCAAACGCTGCCACTGGGGCCTTCGGCGGAGCTCCCTCTGGGGCCACGATCCTCGTGAGGGGTGCGCCAAAATGGGGCGGGGCCACCATGCGAACGCTGCCACTGAGGCCTTCGGTGGAGCTCCCTATGGTGCCACGATCCTCGTGAGGGGTGTGCCAAAATGGGGCGGGGCCACCATGCGAACGCTGCCACTGGGGCCTTCGGTGGAACTCCCTATGGGGCCACGATCCTCGTGAGGGGTGCGCCGAAATGTGGCGGGGCCGCTATGCGAACGCTGCCACTGGGGTCTTCGGTGGAGCTCCCTATGGTGCCACGATCCTCGTGAGGGGTGCGCCGAAATGGGGCGGGGCCGCCATGCGAACGCTGCCACTGGGGCCTTCGGTGGAGCTCCCTATGGTGCCACGATCCTCGTGAGGGGTGTGCCGAAATGGGGCGGGGCCGCCATGCGAACGCTGCCACTGGGGCCTTCGGTGGAGCTCCCTATGGGGCCACGATCCTCGTGAGGGGTGTGCCGAAATGGGGCGGGGCCGCCATGCGAACGCTGCCACTGGGGCCTTCGGTGGAGCTCCCTATGGGGCCACGATCCTCGTGAGGGGTGTGCCGAAATGGGGCGGGGCCGCCATGCGAACGCTGCCACTGGGGCCTTCGGTGGAGCTCCCTATGGGGCCACGATCCTCGTGAGGGGTGTGCCGAAATGGCCCGGGGCCGCCATGCGAACGCTGCCACTGGGGCCTTCGGTGGAGCTCCCTATGGGGCCACGATCCTCGTGAGGGGTGTGCCGAAATGGCCCGGGGCCGCCATGCGAACGCTGCCACTGGGGCCTTCGGTGGAGCTCCCTATGGGCCACGATCCTCGTGAGGGGTGTGCCGAAATGGGGCGGGGCCGCCATGCGAACGCAGCCACTGGAGCCTTCAGTGGAGCTCCCTATGGGGCCACGAAACGCTGTACTGGGTGGGTGAAACGCAGGGAGGAGGGGGGAGGAGGGGGAGAAACGCGGGGCGACGTCTCTTCAAAACGAGGACCCAACACCACAGGATGGTTGGGAAAAACTGGTCCAAAAATGCTACCAAAGATCGTCCCCTGACTATGTTTTGCAGTTTTGATTATTCCCCTGTAGAGGGACAGGCCCGACTTCACACCAATTCTGGCCGGGCCCATCCCGGGCTCGGGCTGAGGCACACGGAGCACCGCTGAGCCGATCCCTACCTCACCACTGGCGCGGCCTGGGCCTCACTGGCCGATGTAAACCGCCATGGATGGGGCTATGAGTTGTTCCTTCGGGCTACGAGGGGGCATGTTCCCAACCCCAGACCCCCGACGCCGTCATTTTTTGTCATGACGTCGACCCCAGAAGTCTCGACCCATTCACCAGGACCAGTTTTTGATCCTGAGTCGTCTTTTGACGGTCCCCGAGGCCCGGTAGGGGCCCCCAGGGGCCGCAATTACTCGAGGGAGTCTGGGACTGTGGTGGTGGGATGATGGGGGATGGGGTGGGGATAGAGATCGGTTCGACGATACTGACACGCGGGCTCGCGGAGCGCGAAGCGCGAAGCGTGAATAACTTCGTGCCCTCGTGACACCCCCAGGTGAAGATGATGAGGATGAGGATGAGGATGAGGATGAGGACGAGGATGAGGATGAGGATGAGGATGAGGATGAGGATGATGATGATGATGAGGATGATGATGAGGAGGAGGAAGAGGAGGAGGAGGAGGGGGAGGCAGCCCGAACCGCGAAGCGCGAACATCTTCGCGCCCGCGTGGGCGCCCTTGCACATACACCGATCCTGGACCCACGATCAGCCTGGCCAGGATTCGGCTGCACGTAAGAGTGACCCTAGGCAAGAGTGGCCTTCGGTGCGCGGCTGCCGCTGCCATCGCATCGAATTCAGCGGTTGGGGGGCCCAGTTGATGAGCAAGTAAGGGGCCCCTTTGGGAGCGGGTCTAAGTCAAGCGGCCCAAGACATCAGGGATAGGGTGTCTTTTCAAAAGATGTTCCAAAACCGTAACACCCCGATGGCTGCCGATGCGGCGTGTGAGTTTACAAGAGCTACAGCCTGAGCTTCAGCTCTGCTGGGGGGCGGGCCAAGGTGGCTTTGCCAGGGACGATCGGTCCAAGACGCCCAGCTGGCCTCCATACAGCCCAAGGAGCTTCTAAGACGCCCGAAGAAGCTTCCAAGAGTGCCCCCCCCGAGGGCCCCAAGATGGAAAAGTTGCCGTCCTCTACGGAAGAAGTGCAGGTTCAGCATATTCGCCTCTTGGGCTTTCACATCGTCGAAGACAGCCCAAGAGGCCCTCATGATCGCTCCAAGACGGACCAAGACCACAACGGCAGGACGGGTTCAAGAGGGGGCCCGGAGGAAAAAATGTTAGTTCGAGCCTTTTACCCCAAGACGCCCACAGGAAGCATCAAGAAGCCTTCAAAAACTCCCCAAGAGGCCCGAAGAGGCCCCCAAGAAGCGCCCAAAAGGCCCCCAGTAGGGCCGAAGAGGACTCCAACGAGCCTTTCCAAGGCCGCCGAAAAACGCCAAGGATGTCCTCTTTCTCCACGTCGTCCACGTCCTCCTCTGCCTGATCTTACTCCTTTTCCTCCTCTTCCTCCTCCTCCTCCTCCTCCTCCTCCTCCTCCTCCTCCTCCTCCTCCTCGGCCTCCTGATCTTCCTGCTCCTCCGGCTCGACTCCCCCTCCTCTTTGTCTTCATCCTTCTCCTCCTCCTCCTCCTCCTCCTCCTCCTCCTCCTCCTCCTCTTCCTCCCCCTCCTCCTCCTCCTCCTCCTCCTCCTCCTCCTCCTCCTCCTCCTGTCCTCCTCATCATCATCATCCTCAGCATCGCCATCATCGTCATCATCAGCATCCTCAGCATCAGCATCATCATCATTATCATCATCAGCAGCATCATCATCGTCATCAGCAACAATATCAGCATCAGCAGCAGCAGCAGCATCTGCATCACCGGCATCAGTATCAACAACATCATCCGATTCATCTGTATCTTCATCATCATCATGATCATCGTCATCAACATCATCGTCGTCATCATCATTAGCAGCAGCATCATCTTCATCCTCATCCTTCTCCTCGTTCCTCCTCCTCCTCCTCCAACCTCCTTAGCCTCCTCCTCCTCCTCCTCCTCTTTCGCATCCTCTTCATCCTCCTGCTCCTGCTCCCGTTGACCCATCCTCCTCATGTTGTCATCTCGTCCTCCTCTTTCTCCTCCTCCTCCTCCTCTCCCTCATCTTTTCTATGCTGGCATTGTAATGATTCTGCTGCCAAGAAGCGTCACATCCAATCCTCTGCCTCTTCCTCCCACTCCTCCTCCTCCTCCTCCTCCTCCTCCTCCTCCTCCTCCTCCGCCTCCTCCTACACTTCTTTTCCTTATATAACTTTTCACTGTCGCACCCAGAGGCTAATTTTAAGGGCGGGCTGGGCGTTTCGCCTGAGACTTCCTTACCATGTATGATTCTGACGCTTGAAATTGGTAACAGTTTCACAAATGGAGGGCGGGTGGTTTTGAAAATATGGTTCCCGCCATAGCGCGGCGCACATTCGTCTGAAACGTCTGCAAGAGTTGCACGGATTGGGGGCGGGTCGTTTTCAAAATGTGGCTCTAGCCTCCGCACGGCGCGAATTAGTTTCAAACATCGGCAAGAGCTTCACGAATTGAGGGCGGGCGGTTTCAAAATTCTGGCTCTCGCATCAGCGCGGCGCATATTCGCTTTAAACTTTGCAAGCGCTTCACGGATTGAGGGTGTGATTCTCGCACTAGCGTGGCGCCAATTTGTTTTAGCATTCGCAAAAACTTCACGGATTGAGGGTGATTCGTTTTCAACATGTAATTCTCGAATTAGCGCGGCGCACATTCATGTGAATAATTTGCAAGGGTTTCACGGATTCCAATCATCAACGTGCCAAGAGCTCTGTGTTGAAAGGATTCATGACTATGCGGGTGCGACAGTTATGTTGACTGGCGATGTTGAAGACCCAATAATGGTGTTCTGACACGATTCAGGATTGTCAAAAACGCATCAGTCAAGTTAATCAATGGCGTTGGAA